ATTTAATTGATAAAAAAAATTTATTTCCTAGCCTACAAATAATAAAACAGTAAAAAATACTAAAAACATAAATTTAGATATATAACTCACAGTACAGGGTATTGCATCAGGTCAAATAGTGTCCGATAGCATACAATGTATTGGGGTCACACCTAAGTGAGCTAGCATATACTATATATTAAAATTTCCAGTAGTTTCATGATTTTATTGATAAAAAAACGTATTTCTTAGCCTAAGAATAATAAAACAGTAAAATATAGTAAAAAACATAAATACTAACAGTATTGCACCACATAAAATACAATACTGGTATCAGCATTTCGGAAAACGCAAAGGCTCGCACCTACATGACCTAGTGAATATTAAAATTTTCATTACTTTATTGATAAAACAAGTATTTCCTAGCCTAAGAATAATAAAACAGTAAAAAATAGTAAAAAACATAAATACTAACAGTATTGCACCACATAAAATACAATACTGGTATCAGCATTTCAGAAAACGCAAAGGCTCTCACCTACGTGACCTAGTAAATATTATTTTCATTATAGTATTGATAAAAAAAGTATTTCCTAGCCTAAGAATAATAAACCAGTAAAAAATTAAAAAACATAAATACTAACAGTATTGCACCATGTAAAATACGATACCGCTATCAGCGTTTCGGAAAACGAAAAGGCTCTCACCTACGTTGCATGCTGTTATTTATAAAGTAAAGGGTGTTTTTTTAATAGTGCAGGGAGGATTTATACAGTACGTAAACGTAAAAATAATTGTAAAATACCTATGTACATGAGTATGTCACATCATCATCACCTCATTCACGGTAAATTTTCCTATCACTTTCATAAAAATTTACGTTGCTTGCTGTTATTTATAAAGTAAAGGGTGTTTTTTTAACAATGCAGGGAGAGTTTATACAGTACGTAAACGTAAAAATAATTGTAAAATACCTACTTACATGAGTATGTCATGTAATTACCACTTCATTCACCGTAACTTTATCTATCACTTTCATATAACTTTGTTGCATGCTGTTATTTATGAAGTAAAGGGTGGTTTGTTAACAGCATAGGGAGGGTTTATACAGTGTAAACGTAAAAATAAATTAAAATATCTATGTACATATAGGCTGATCCTACTCCGCGATTTTCCTGTCTCGCGCTGGGTTCCGGAACCGAACCATCGCGATAACGGAAGGAACACTATATATATAATATATATATATATATATTGGTATTTATTATCCTACTAGGAATCCTGTTCTATGCATCACCAACTCTACGGTATTACCAAGCCAATTTTCATCAATTTCCCTTCTGAACCTAAATTTATCAAGCTTAAAAAAATTAATATATATATATATATATATATATATATATATATATATATATATATATATATATATATATATATATATATATATATATATATATATATAATGATGATGATCTTTTCTATTTATTTTTTTCTTTATTTTTTTTTTTAGGGATTTTCGCGAAATTTGAATTTTTTTCTATTATTTTTTGGGGGCGTTATTGCAATTTCGTGTATAAAAAAATCGTGTATAAAAGGAACAAGGTGTATCATCATATGAGAAACTCAAATATCAGTATTAAAGCATAAACTTATAATTTAATAAAATCTACTCCTAATGAGTTTAGGACGAAATATTTGAAGAAAAAAAATAATTTTCATCTAATTATGAACTTTACAAACATGAGACAAATACATCAAACGTATGGAAGAGGCGGTCATAAGGGGAAAAAAATCACCAGTAGGCTTAAGAAGAAAATTACCTTTAATGGTTGTCATTTCGGTTTAGAATTCAAAAAGAAGATTAGTGGGGCAGTTTCAATTTGAAGAGATTTATAAAGGCTCTGGTATTCATTTTTTTTTTGAAAGGGTGATCATCACTGATTTAAATTCCCTGAAGAAATAAATAGGGTATGGAATAGCCATTCCTCCTGAAAGATTAAGGAATTTAGCATTAAATTAAAAATATCAAACAATGAACAATTGACTCTGTCATGGAAGCCAAGTTCTTGGTGTCTCTAGCTTTTTATAAGAATAATTTCTTAAATATAAAAATTATTTCTAAATTACTCTTCCATTAACCTGAGGTGCACCTGGCTACCTTTCATGGTGCACCATTTGAGAAATATTATGTTATATAATAGATATTCCAAATGCCATTAACATAATTCTGCATAAGAGGGCATTAATTACAAAGCAAATACCACTTTCTATGAATGTTCATTACTAAAATATATCCAATATCTGTGATTTTACACTGCAGCAGACATCCAAATTCATTTGGTTTAGAAAGTCGCTACTTGTGAAATACTGTACTAGTAATCATAAAGTTTATGGCCATAGTTGAGTTGATCTGGACAAAAATGTGATATTTCTAATTATTTGTTTATGTGAAATGCTTGACTTGATTGGTATTTTAGTAGGATATTAGACGTTTTGGAGCAAATTCACTTCACAATTAACAATAATGGGTATCCTCAGCATGAATTTGAGTTTTGGGAGAGTTAAATATCAAAACAATAAAGACAATTGCAAGAGTAATCGTCAACATCAAAAATCATTCAGAAACCGGACTCTTCTTACCTAACAGGAGGGCTTCGTTCCCCAGTTCCCTTGACCAGGTTTAATATTATAGCAACATCACGTGCCAAAGTCATTTTTCCTAATAGAGGCACCTCTCAGATCCCCTTACCTAACCTAATATTATAACAACAGTCATGATGCAATTTTTCAATGTTCTACAGGTTCTTAAGTGTAGAGGAACAAAAGACTCAACACTGAAGGAGGAATAAAGATAAATGATGCAGCATAGTCAATTCATCAGTGGTGACCAGGTGATATGATGCTAAAGAATGGTGAAACTGTAAATCATCAAAATTGCCAATAATGATGCAGGAAGAGTAACATGAATAACTGCAATTATTACTTGATACCATAACTCCTTAAATGGGCATACGTGAGGATTTTCTTGTAGAAGCAATGCTGTTAATAATGACGGGGCAGAAAGATATACCAACATATGAATGCTAAGATCAGTAAAACTTAATAATAACATTGTCATCAACTTTATAAAAAATACGGGAGCTAAAAATATTTGTATTTTATTTACAAGGTCGAGTTAAAAATACATAACACTGACAACCTAATAGTGTCTTAACAAAAAAGTGATGGTTTATGCTGACACGTTACCAATATGCTACAGTACAAACCTCCTCCTTAGGATACATACATGTACAAGTAGTTGTGATAGGAATGAATATATTCACCAACAGGCCCCCAATGTATGGAATGGAAATACAATACAGTGATCCCTCGTTTATCGAGGGGGTTCGGTTCCGGGACCACCAGCGAAAGGTGAAAATCCACGAAGTAGCAGCACCATATTTATCACAGGTATTTCACATTTATTTTTACCTTTACTGTATAAACCCTCCCTGCACTGTTAACAACTCACCCTTTACTTAGCCTTAGGCTCACTACCAGAAGCCTTAGAAGATGAAGGATGCTTGGGCGCCATTGCAGGGGTTGAAATACACAATCAAGAGTTTCACAAAAAACACAAGCACAACATATTAAGAGGTACAACAAGAAAGGCGCACACGTGAGTAACTGAATGGGTGAGGCGAGACAATGGAAGATGCTGGAAGACTCAAGCTTCAATCAAAAAGCCAATCAGACCCCAGTATACAGAACACAATTCTGTGATTCATCGTCTCCAAACCATCAGCCAATAGCATCCCATGTACTATCTCACATAGGTGTGACCCTTTTCGTTTTCCAAGACGCCGATACCATTACAGTATTTCATATGGTGCAGAGTTATATGTTTAAATTTATGTTTTTTACTATTTTTTACCATTTTATTATTCTTAGGCTAGGAATTACTTTTTTTTATCAATTAAATAATGAAAACACTGGAATTTTAATATGTACTATCTCACGTAGGTACGAACCTTTTCGTTTTCGAAGACGCCGATACTGGTATTGTATTTTATATGGTGCACAGTTACATGTTTAAATTTAAGTTTTTTACTTTTTTATTATTCTTAGGCTAGGATATATTTTTTTATGAATAAAATAATGAAAATACTGGAAATTTTAATATGTGCTATCTCATGTAGGTGTGACCCTTTGCGTTTTCCGAAACACCGATACCGGTATCGAATTTTATATGATGCAATACTGTGAGTTACATCCTTAAATTTTTTAAATTTATATTTTTTACTGTTTTATTATTCTTAGGCTAGGGAGTACTTTTTTATCAATAAAATAATGAAAATACTGGAAATTTTAATATGTACTATCTCACGCAGGTGCGACCCTTTGCGTTTTCCGAAGAGCCGATACCAGTATTGTATTTCATATGATGAAATACTGTGAGTTACATGTTTAAATTTATGTTTTTCACTATTTTTTATTGTTTTAGCATTCTTAGGCTAGGAAATACTTTTCTTATCAATAAAATAATGAAAATACTGGAAATTTTAATATGTACTATCTCACGTAGGTGCGACCCTTTGCATTTTTCGAAATGCCGATACCAGTATCGTGTTTTATATTATGCAATACTGTGAGTTACATGTTTAAATTTATGTTTTTCTTTACTATTTTTTACTGTTTTATAATTATTAGCCGAGGAAATACTTTTTTTTTTCAACAAAATGAAAATACTGGAAATTTTAATATTTCCACATAACGTGGATTCACGTGATATACCCAGAATATCTGAGATATAAAATACATATGCTCGCCAAAAAAATCCACGATGCACTGAATTCGCAGAAGGTGAATCGCAATATAGCCAGGGGTTACTGTACATTGAAAATACATCTAAAGCAACTGATCCGGTTTTACATCACAGACTCGATTTTCTAGTAAGGGATAGGACAGTGCCTCCTTTATGAAGGCCTTTTGGTTTCAACAGGGATTGACCATTATCCTGATTAAATGGCCCTTCTTACCTGAGATTGTGGTGGGTCTTGAACCCATGACCTCATGAATCAATGTCATATGCCCTACCATCTGACCACAGCAGTCAAATATCTAAAACAACTAAAAAAAAAGCAAAAGTTTCAATTATTAACTCACTTCTTAACTGGGGGTGAACTAATCAAATAAAAAAATATAAAAATAAATTTCATGAGATTTACTTCTAACTAGAAGTGTGATAGTACACAATTACCAATTAGAGAATTGCTGCTAGCTTTTAAACATTTACTTAGGAAATGGGATACCATTCCATTCTGCATTAGTTACTAGTAACAAACCCCAACTTCGGTAACTACATTTTGGATATGACACCATCATATATAATTTAAAAAAATCTGGTATCAAATATACTTCATCATCCATGAAATAATCAGAGATTCTCCTATTACCTGCTTTAGTACCAGATGCAGTGATAAACCTAAGGTCCTAATAAAAAAAAGAAGGACCCTACCGTATTTTTCTTTTCTGCCATTTTATGTCGCATATAGTCACTATTCAAATGGGGGCGGAAAGGCAGGATGGAACTGGGGGATTAAAGCTGGATGCCCACCCCATGCCCCACAGAGGGATCGATGCTGGATATTTAAGCTCTCCCTTCCCAACTCATGCAATCTTCCACAAAGCTACTGTGGCCCCAAAGGTCCCTACTATATAATAGTAATAACATCCAACATATCCTATTTTGCACACAGCCAAACAACTGACATAGGTCACCTTGAGCTCTTATAAGTTCGACATATTAAAACAAGGTGAATGCATACTTTCACACCAAAATGAGAATACACTGAAGGGAACGCTTACAGTTTAGCGGGGCATACCAATGTTCAAAACCTACCAATAAATGGCGATAGGCTCTAGCTAGAGAACTGGCGGATGAACACACAACAAAAATAGCGACAATAGGCATACGAAACAATTTTTTTTACTATCCTAACTAAAAATACTTACCTAACCTACAGTCGAACTATTTACCCGAGTGGAGGGATGAGGTCGTTGAGCGGCAAGCCCCGCTAAACTGTAAACTACCCCACTGAGGAATATCTAAGATAGCTAAAAGAGAAATTATAACTTCAATTATCAACTTGTGTCGTAATGTGGTGTAAACACAAACAAAGCTAACCTTAACATTATACTAAGTACCACGATTATTTTCCTAACTAGGGTTGAGTAGATAAACATACACCAAAAACAAAATACAGACACAAGACCTCAAAACGGGGCTCAAGTCAGACTCAACTTACCATCTCGGTCAAAGATTGAAGCAACACCATCTTGGGATGGAACTAGATCGAAGCCTCTGTACGTTGCCACTATGGAATCAAATGTCTTAGTCTTTTTGCATAATGGATCACTGCATAACCAACACCAATAACTCAAAAGACCTAGGGCCAACCACAACCCTATGACAGCTCCAACACACAGATTTCTATGCTTTCTCATTATCATCACGACATTTACGTACGTTGACTAGATGTAAATACGTAAAATTTTCTTCTTCTTTCAGTATGTATAGGACACGAACTGTGAGCTCAGAGGTCCCACCCTAAACTGTTCAATACGTTTAAGGGAATTCAAAGTAGTTAAATTGAATACCACTGAGAACGTTAAACATGGGAAAAAAATCTATGAAGAAGTACTACGAGTCTTAAACTCTCTTCCTAAAAAAATAACAATTTCATAACGGTAGAAGTAATCTATATTTGTTGAGAATTATTTGGATCACGACCCTAATAATGATAGGGAAGGATAAGTAGCAACTTCCCAGGAAGAGCATGTAGGTACAGTGATGTCTGATGAAAACATCCATTTCCCTATTGACGATGACAGCGAAGGATGATTAACATTATAGTTGCGATGTTAGGACATGTTTTGCACCACTCCTGTTATTATTAGAGTTGTCTACTCTAAATCTTGCCTGATTTGGATTAGTTGGGAGAATAAGTGAAGATAAGAATGACGTCAACATCTGGAAAGAAAGACAAGGATAATAATAGATGGGAACAGAAGAAAAAAAGTCACAGGAGATGTAGCTGGGAAACCGGCGCCGGGCACTGTTGTTGATAATGGTGCTTCAGGAGGTGGTAGGGCCAGGGATGTTTGTGGTCATTGTGATGCGGTGGGAACGAACAGAGATAAAAACAGTGATGGTTTGTTCTGTGACTACTGTACTTACTAGTACCATGCAAGATGTAAGGGTTTGTCCACCGATACTTATCAAGTGTTTAGTAGGTTAGCTAATCAAATCAGCAACATGTCGTACTATTGCGATTTCAATCACTACAAAGTTGTGCCTAAGGAGATCTTGAAACAAATAGGCACCATTAGACAGAAAGTTGATGAAAATACAAGGAGGAATGAATAGCTAGAGGAAAGAGCTGATCAGCAAGAAGCTGTGATTGAGAAGTCAGTATCTGATTAAGTTACTAGGTGTTTGGATGACAATATTGAAACGAAAGTACAAAGAGAATGGGCTAATATTAAGGATAGGGAAGTGAGGGCTAAGAATGTGATATTCACTGATATTGTCGAGTTCAGAAATGGTGATAAGGATGTTAGAAAGCAGGAGGATATTGGGAAGATTGAAGCCTTGCTAGTAAATGATTTAGGTATTGACTTGGGACAAGTCAAGATAATCAATGCTATAAGGATAGGTAAGCAAAATATGAGGAACGAAGATAATAGGCCTAACTCAAGATTGTTGAAAGTAATGTTTAAAAATGAGAAAATGGTCTCATTAGTGGCAAAATCAGCAAAGAAACTTAGCGAGTCAACAGACAATGATGTAAAAAAACATTAAAATATTTAGGGATATGAGTAAGAGTGATCACGGGAAAAGAAAATTAATAGTTGAAGAAATGAAAAAGAGAACTCAGGAACTACATAACAATGGTATAAGTAATATGAAATGGGTAATCAAGGAATCCGATGTTGTTAAAGTTAAGAGCAGAAATGTTTAGTAATCTCCGGGACTGCAAAGACCTCTCAGGAAAATATTGGCCCATCAGTTTTGAATTTCTTAGATGCCAATGTAGATGGTATATGTAATAAATTGAGTGAATTTTAAAATATTTTGGATATATATGTAGAAGCCCTCATTACTGTGTTGCTGAATGGAGATATTAGTACTATTGAAATTTTTTATATAGATAATTATGAAATGTTTCGGAAGAACAGAAATTTACAAAACGCACCCAGTGGGGGTGTAGTGATTTTAGTTTGGAGGTCTTTGCTTTCCTCGGCAAATGAAATAAGATATCTAACAGATCATTTATATGAGGAAACTATTTGGAGTGAAATTAAACTCAGGAATAAGATTATTCTAGTTGGTGCTGTTTACAGACCACCAAACTCAGGTAGGAAAAAGAATTTACTAATAAATTATCTCATTAGAGTCAGTGAGAAATATGATAATAGCTCTCAGGTATTACTCTCTGGAGACTCTAACTTTGGTGAGGTAATTTGGGAAAATAATTCAGTTGATAGTGATGAATATCATGTTATTGATGCCAGAAATTTTTTGGATGCTATTAATGATTCCTTTTTGTATCAACATATTTTAGAACCTACACACAATGTTGGCTGTGATAATGAATCTCGTCTAGATTTAGTATTTACAAGAAATTTAGTTGATATTGAAAATGTTCGATTTTTCTCTTCCTTGGGTAACAGTCATCACTCCACAATTGTATTTGATTTTCTTATTGATGATGGTGAAGACTGTGATAATACTGATGTAAAATATAAATATTGCTTACACAAAGGTAATTATAATGAGATTAAGAGAGAGTTAACATTAATTGACTGGGATCATATCTTTGCTGGTAAAACTGTAATAGAGAAATATGATATATTTTTGTTAAAATATGCTCTGAGTCAATTTAGAAATATGTGCCAAAAATAGAGATAGTTGTTGGAAAGGCCAAAGCAAAGTGGATGAACAAGGAGGTGAGGAATCAAATATTTGTAAAAGAAAGAGCATGGAAAAGACTTAATGCAAGAAAGATTTCTTTCAGAGCAGAAAAATATTGACAAGAAAGGAATAAAGGAAATACTATGGTAAAACTGGTGAAGATTGCTTTTGAAAAGAAACTTTCTAAGGACATTAAATGTAACCCCAAGCAATTTTGGAGCTTCATTAGAAGCAGGACTAAACTTAAAGAAAATGTGTTGAGAGAAAAGAAAAGGAATGGGTTGATGATAGAGAATGATGTTGAAACAGCAAATTAATTAATTCAAGCATTTCAAAGTGTCTTTGTTAATGAATCACATTTGAACATACCAGATTTTGGTGATATGCATGATGGATCTACCTTAGAAAACATTGAAGTTGATTTAAATACTGTCTCAGGGCTACTTCAGAAGATAAATATTAACACATTAATGGAATCCACTAAAAGTTTTTGAATGAATGCCATATTAAGTTGGTAGTGCCAATAACGATGATGATAAAAGACTCTTTGGAAGCAGGGATATTACCCACCGTATGGAAGATTGCAAAGAATTGTCCTATCTTTAAAAAAGGCAATAAGCTGGATCCTCTCAACTACCGACTTATATCCTTAATATGTATATTATGTAAAACATGTGAGATCATAATTAGAAATAAGTTGATAGAACATTTGGAGTCAATTGCTATCCTCAGTGGAAAACAGCATGATTTTAGGAGTAAGCGTAGCACTGCTACAAATCTCTTGGAGCACTTGGAGGCACTTACTAAGGCAGTTGATTTGCAGATACCTGTAGATGTTAACTATCTAGACTGTAGAAGGGCCTTTGATTTAGTTTCACACAGGAGGCTTTTTAAATAGATTGTATGGTTTTGGTATTTAAGGCAATGTGTTGGAGTGGATCAGGAGCTTTCTTGCAGACAGAAAGCAGTTTGTTGAAGTTAGGGGTCAATATTCCACCCATCTAATAGTAACATCAGGAGTTCCACAGGGGTCTGGTCTTGGGCCAATTCTATTTTTTATTTTTGTGAATGATTTAGTAGAGGAACTTGAATGCTTGCCTTGATGTTTGCAGATGATGCAAATTTTTTTTGTTAGAAT